GTCCATCCTGCACAGAGTTAGCCTCCCCCGTGCCAGCAGGACACTGAATGCCTAGAAGTTTACAGGTTACCACTCTCTCTTCTTGAGACAATGCTAGGACAGTACTGCCACCATATGTTTCAGGATGCACCTTTTGCAAAGCTTCCACCTTTTGATTAGCTGGTTCCTCCACTCTTCGGTTATGTTAACACAGTAAGTCAGGTTAATGTCACCTCTGTCAAATCTGTCACATACGCTCAAGCCCCAAGCCCTGTTGCTGCTCTCAAATGACTTCAGCTATCTCTGCTTGGGTCATTTATACGATGATTTCACGGCATACTCTTGTGAAGGCAATCTTATTTCCCTTACTTTCAAGTCCCAGGGAGACAACTCACCGCACCTCCCATCAACTGCAGTTCGAACCAGGGGCTGAGGCTGGAAGGACATCGGAAGTAATTCCTCTGGAATACAAATGAGTCTGCAGAATGTTTTCTTGCTCATTACCTACCTCTTCAGCTAAAAGAAGTTCCTTTGGAGTTAGAGCTCCCAGTGGCTTCAGTCTGGCATAGGATGTAGTCACCTACTTGATGAGTTTCTTCAAATCATCTATCACAACAGTGGTAATTTTGAGGCATGCCAAATCCTTATCCCTTCTGCTTCCTTCCTGCTGAAAAGTTGCTGAATCTTCCATTGATTCTCAAAAGGCGTTATGGCTTTTAGCACTGCATTAATCTGCTTCTGAAGATCAGGGCATTTATTTTTGAGATCTCCATCTTGTTGACTTCCTTAAGCTCAACTATGTACCCTTTAGCTATTTACATGGTGTGGGAGGGTAGTAAGATTTTTTAAAAAGAAGAAGAAAATATCACATCATTACATTATATAATTCTACTCAATTCCCTTCCTTCTAATTGCAGCAGAATACCCTTAGAACAAACATTAAAATAAATGTGGGAATAGGAAAGGCAGGTTGAGGAGAGAATAACTTCAAGTACCTACAAGGCTAGCACCTTCTCATTTTATAGGCACATGGGGGCATAATGGCCTTCTTGTTTACTCAACATGTATCTATGTCTCCAGCTGAAGCAACATTTCTATTCTAGAAGAACCATTGCTATTATAAACATATACTGAGCATTGCAGAAACTTCTATTAAAGCTCATGCACACCTGTGCTTCATTTCCTCAGTGCAAGCTTAGCAATGTTTCAGACAGGGACCAGGAATCCCAGGCTCTGACATTGACTATAAAGAGCAAGTCACTTGCATCTCTTTATGCCTCCTCTGTAAAATGAAATGGTTGAATAAGATGATTTCTTACATTCCTTTTAGCTCTCAATTTTTTATCACTTTTCCTGAATTAGGTTATGTAGTATCATCCTTCCTTCCCTTCTTTCTTCTTTATCTACATATCATCTGTTTATCTTTCCCAAGTATTTTGAGGTTGTTCCAGAGGTAGATTTAAGTTAATGAAGTTTAAACATCAGGGTCCTTCACTGGGCCCCTTCTAAATAAAAAAAATTCAATTTGTTTTCTAATTTTATATTTTAATGTTATATTCTTTCTCTTAAAGAGAGCTCTCAGATTTGTATATACTTTGCATCCTACACAATCTGTATTTGCCCCTGGGTGGGATAGGAAAAAGACAAATACAAATAAAAATATCAAAATAGGAATTTAAAAGGAAGATCTGAGAAAAGGAATGGAAAGAAAATAGGCCACACATTAAATGCTAAACAGTTTCCCCAGTTGAGCATCAAGCTGAGCTCTGAGGCTCAGAGTTTCATGGAAGGCAAAGGGAGGGATTTGTACATTGTACAACTCTTACTATCAGAATGGAGGACGTGTTGAAAGACAACATTTAATGTTAGTATTAACAATTAATATGCATAAATCCTGAACTCTGAGAAATGTCTCAGTGGAATGTTTTATAGGAGACAAAATCATACATTGACGAAGAGTGGTATTTTCACAATGATAGAAACCATTATGGAAACAAGTAATACATTTTTGTTCAAATATATGTTGAGCAATTCCGCCATTATAAGGCATTGTCCTATGCAGACAAGAGATACAGAAAGGACCACGACATGGAGCTGGTTCCCTCAGACTTGTCAGGCAGACACACAAACAATTAAAAACTAACTTGATAAATTGATCATGGAGGCCTGTACAAAGGAGAGAGGAGCTAACTCCCACAGGGACATGGAGAATGAAGGGAAGAAATAACTTATGAGCTCAGTTTTAAAGGTAAAAATATTCTTTACATAATAGTTGTCACCTCACAGGAAATGTTTAAAAAACTGCCAACATTGCCTAGAAATTTTTCTAAGCACAATCTGACTCTCATTCCCTTGGCTTATGGGCACAGTGGCTGTTGTAAAATAGAATTGCATTCATTGAGTCATTCCTTACAGACCCCAAAGTCACTCCACCTTTCGTGCAATGAATTCTTGCAATTCATTTCTAGGTCTTCCCGTCTTATTTCCTTGAGTGTTTGAAGGATTTCTCATGGCTTACCTGTAGCCTTTTTAATGAATGTGATGGGTTTACTAAATCCTTTAGTTATCTGTAGAGAACCAAAAACAAGGTATCTGGACATTTAAAATAAGAAACACTAAGAAAAAATAACATTTGAAACTATACTAATGGACATCCCTTGGTGTTCAGATATTTTCAAAGTCAAAAAATATTTATTCAAATGAGCAGTTTAAAAATCTTTTCTAAGCAATTCCCATTTTGCAGCCATGGAATAGAAAGTGATTCATCTGGCAGCACCTCAAAAAATTGTAAGCCACAAAATGAGGAAAAGCCTGAATTTTAAGCATCCAAGGTTAGGTAATAGAAAGCATCTTCATGAGGAAAATAGAATCTCATAATAGCCTTGTTTGGTGAGGTTTGTATACTTGGAATGAACATTGTTCCCCTGCACTGGTATTCCCAAAGGAATGGAAAAATTTCTGCATCTTTCTAAAGTATTCAACTATAGCATCAAACAGGCTTGCAGGTTTGCTCTCCATTGTGTCTGGCCAAAAACCCAGAGAACTTCACCTTGCATTATGCATGCCCCTCTAACTCCCTGTAAGTTTGAAAACACATGAAAAGTCTCTTCCTGCCATCCTAACTTCCCTTCTCTTTGATGGATTGCAACAGGCAAGCGGTTCCTTGCAATGGAGCAAGATTTTCAATCATGGGGAAATTTGGAGCTTCTGCAATTGATACTAAAATTATGATGCTGCCATCGTACCTCACTCAACAGGGGATTTGAAAAGGAAAAAAATAAAGATTCAGTACGGAGTCACTGTCACGCTGTGGCAGAGATAGTCTGCTGAAGTGTTGGGTCAGGAATTCAGCAGTCCTTTGCAGAAATTGCATTCAGCTTGAAATTCAGTTCATAGGATAGAGTTAAAAACATGGAAATAGAAATTTAGATTTCTAGTTTGAGTTGATCAGTGATCAGTAGTTAAGCTGAAGCACTATAAACTCTGAACATTTGAAAGCAAGAGATTTTTAATATATCTAACACTTGAAAATAAAATTTCATCCTATCCAGGGTTTTAAAAAAAAATCATAGTAAACCTTATTTCTTCATTCTCCTCTCCCCACTAAGAAATAGGAAAATAGCTGTGAGTTTTAAAGAATACAAAGCAAGAAATCTCTGAGCAAGGTACAATGACTAGTTAAAATAAGCAGTGGGCAGTTGTTCAAGGATTAATACTAAAATAGAAGCTTAACGATTCTTACAGTTACCACCTGTTACTACACCTCAATGTTGTGGAGAACAAGTCTGAACAACTCATTGACAGCTATCACTTATCGGCTACACACCATGTGTCAGACATTTTAATGGATTATCTCATTCAATCCTCACGACAGCCCTATGCGGTAGATATTATTAGCCCCTTTTTAGATGAGGAAGCAGGCACAAAGCAGCCAGGGGACATGACTAAAATCACCCAACTAGTCAGTAGCAAAGCAAGATTCTCACTCAGGTCTATTTGATTCCCATCCCAGGTTCTCACTCACACTGATACCTGAATTTAGGGGCAAGAGTGTAAATCTCTGGCTTTTAATTAGCAGTATCTATGATGGTGATGCCTTATGAGCCAGCTACAGCAATAATAGTAATCATAGCAGAGATGGAAATAGCACATACTACCTGTCAAGCAATGCTCTGGGTGCTTTAAATCTATCACTTTATAAAATCCTCGCAACAACCCTAAGAAGGAGGAAACTGAGCCACCAAGGGTGTAAGGAACTTGCCCCCAGGTCACACAATCAGCAAAAGCTTAGGAGTCAAAGTCAACTTCAGACTCAGACAGCCAAGCTCCTGAGCCCCTGCTCTTGGCCACAACACTCTATTGCTTAGCCTGGAGTTTTAATCTGGATACAGACTAAATTCATGCCCGCATTTATGCCAAGTCCAGCCACATTCTGAAATGGCTCCACTACCTTAGCACAACTTGTGAATTAAAGTGAAAGCTGAAAAATCGATGAAGTCCATGATCAATATGAACAACCTAATGTATTCTTGAATTATTCTGCTCAATTAAGTTTCTATTACAGAGTTTAATCCACATATCTGACAAGTAAAAGAGGAATAAAAATGATGATTATGTGAGATTAATCAAATAAAGTGCCAAATGATTTTCAACAGCTAACACATGCATCTCAACACGTTTAAAAAGATCTATTGCATATGTGGATATATTAACACAGGTCCACAAGGTGTATAGTTGGTACTCTGTGCACAGAACATAAGCCTAGCTCAATATCTGTTTTGAACCACACGCAAATGTTCATTAACCTTATATGCAAGCATGAAATGTTTGATGTCATAAGGCTTCTGTGAACCAGCTGTTGAAATCAATATATATATATATATACATATATTTCTATGCCAGTTTCCTAATGTTCTAAATGTTATCAAATGTGAAGTTACTAAGATTTTTATATTATGTTAAAGATGTCACGTATTAATAAATAGCTAACAGCTTGTTTTTATTGTTTTCTTTCTCTCCAGGTATCCCCAGTATTTCCAGTATTGGTAGTAAGTAAAAAATCACCAAACCCAGTCTAGCCTAGCTTTGCTTTGTTGTTCAGCTCCTCAGATCTATTTTCCCACTGTCCATTTCTGATGTAATAGGGTACTTGCTTTGTGAATTGCATTTTATGTGTTGGTTTTCTGCCCAGATATGCTGAGAGCACAGATAAAGTAGTTATTTATGCATAAGTCTTCTGCAGACATGGCAGTGCCACTGCTTTTCTGACTACTTTTGACCAATGAAGGCCACCTCTACAGAGGTGCAATTACTTAGATAACCATAACTTATTTTAGCAAAAATATAAATAGTCCTACTTACTCATACTTAGTAACCAACAAACAAATTGAACTCTCTCTCTCTAGGACTGAATGTGGATTTCCAACATAATTTAGAAAAGCAGAGAATGAATGCCAATGAATGCCTGGGGCATAATCATCAGAATTCAAGGCAAAGGCCATGAAACCAGGGAAAGGGAATTTTGTTAATGTATTAAACTCTGGACTTTGTGAAGGCCTGAAAGAGGCAGGTTTGTGAGCACTAGTCTTTCCAAAGGAATGAAGGAAAATGATAATCAGTACATCCATTTCTCCCCCCTAAATTATAATGATCCATGTCTCCAGGACCACTTAGGTTTCAGTTTGATAGAGAAGAGGTATAAAAAATACATGCAGAATTTAGGATTCAGAGTGCTAGAAAATCCTGCTAGAAATCTAAGCAATTAAAGAGAAATCCCTCTTGAAGCCTCTGTGGAATGCTTCTCCAGTCTCGCTGCAAAGAACATTCTCTCTGCTATACTGGGAAAACCAGTCTGTAGCTCCCCGTTTACATATAGAACAACGCTACCCGAACACCAAACCCGAAATGCCTGTTAGAAAATGTCCAATAACTTTCCAGAGCAGAATTTTACATATTTTTACATACTGTACCCTTTATCTCTGATGGCTAAAAGCTTGGAACAAAACCTGAGTAACTGATTAGAAATAAAGTACTGAGGAAGCCAAGATTATGCACTGTGAGTGAAGAGAAGAATTTTCACTGTAGTGTCACCCTTCACAGGCCCATGTCATAGGCTGGGTGATCGCAAGTGTAAATAGCAGTTGAAAGATTGCGACACCCAACATCCATCTAAAAAGCAATACTCTGATAATCTGGATAAAACAACTTCCTACTTCTTATAAATGCATAGTCAGATCTTCCAATTTATAAATCAACCCAGTTTACTTAAAGCTTGTGAATATGCCTGGACACTGATTTGTTAAGAACTGGATGTGGTAAATGCCATGAAAATTGGCCTCTTTGTAAATAGAAACAGTGTCCACATCCATTTAGATGCCAGCCTAGTGCTACACTTCCCCTTTGTGATCTTGTTGAAACAGCGTCAGCACGACGAACTTGCAAATGAGAACCTTCAGCTCTAATAGTCTAATTTTTCTGCTTTAGTATCCCCCCTCGCATTTGCCTAACTGTATAGACACCCCACAATGTGCTCCTTTCAGGCCTTGACAATTGCATTTGCACATGCATTTTAGAACAACAGGGAACCAAACGGAAGCAAGCCGAGACAGATTATGGAGGCTGCTGTCGTGGTCTGGCCTGTCGAACGTTTCAGAAATGGATGGATGGAAAAGTAGTTCTTTGGCGCTGGGGTGTCTTTCTGTTCGGAGTGTCAGTTGTGTGTTGCATGGACCCTCTGACTGTCCTGCTCACTCCACATCCCATCCGGCCGCCTCCACCACATCCCCCATCTCTGAGCATCAGCAGATGTTGACCTTTTACACACCAAATCGGGAAATTCCAGTTTGGTTTTGCTTTGTTTTATTTTGAAATCAGTGGTGACCTGAAAGGATGCTTTGTTGTGCCTTTGGCAAATGTATTAACCTTTATTGTCAGGAACCTAGGAAAATTTAACTCCTAATACCTAACAAAAACCCTCCGACTAAAAGTGATAGTTTGTAAGCTGCCTTTAGTATGCCTCTGGCTGCTCTGCTTGGAGTTTAAAGGGCGTTTTCTCAGATTTCCAGCAAGCAGGATGTAAGAGCTTCCAGGGGCCACCCAACATCACACGTGACTAGTTTGCCTGTTGCCTGGCTTTTAAGGTAAAGAGATTTACAATAAAACCATCAAACATGATTGTATCTCCTAGGCTGCTTTAATGGCTTTCCTAAGTTCCTTCTTTGTGGACTTGCCTGCTGTGTGCACCAGTGGATTCCTTTCCTCTCCAAAGGGCAAGAATTCACGCGTAGATGACTCACTGCCTGTTCTAGAGGGCATGGGAATGGGGTTTCCAAGGTGCAAGCCAGAGAAGAGGAGGCTGCTTGGATTTTTAACTAAGTTTGGATGTTTGCCAGGGCTTCTCCCTTTACCCCAAAGAAGGAATCAATGAATATAATTCCACGACTATACAGGAAGATACCATTATAAGAGATGTAACACCCATGAGATTCTGATCATCAATGCATATCTCACGGAAAATAAATGATGTCTAAACCATTGATGTATGTAACCATAAGTTTACATACACATGCTATATACACAGTGACTAAAGGCTTTGGAGCCCTAATAGATTTCAGTAGCGATCTCAAAATGTCAGCGCCTGTATTAAGGTTTGAATGCATGGACAGAGCAGTCATCCTTTCCGATCATCTGCTAAAAATGTTTTTGAAACAAATTTTCCATTAAGGTCATTTGTACCTGCTGTTGTCTATCTATTAAGAAATAGGTTTTCCAATCATCCCAAGGGTACTTGATTTAAAACTCAGTCATTTTGATGTGCTTTGACCATGGCTGAAAAAATATTGGTGATATTGTCAGCAATTAATGAATCCCAAAATAAATCTGTAGCCATTTGAGCCTTATGATCTATGACTTGACTTCACCAGATGTGGTAGTAATTCATTCAGATTTCATTTTTTATAAAATGTATTATGCACTTATAAGTAAACATTCATGATTTTATCCACTAAACATTTGTTGATGCTGATAATCCAAATTAATAGCTGGCTTGGTATGGGTGTTTTTGTTAAAATGATAAACAGATCATTACCTTCTAACATATATGATCTGATCTTTGGTCCTGAAAAACAAATCATTTCACAAATTATACTATTTAAATATATCATAAAGAGCATAATTAGACCGTCAAAAATTGGCCTAATGTGCAAATAGATTTGTGTGGGTGATTATCACTTCTTACAAAAAGCACATGACAGATGGGTCAGAAGTTAAAGGTAGACCAACCAGAAAGTGAAAGATCACATCAAGATAGATCATTTCAAATGACTTGGAGTTTTTAAATAAACAGAAATATTTCTTAGCATACCAACAAAAGAAAAAAGAGATGCAAACATACGGTGAACTTGACTATAGATTATTTTCTTAAATTATTTTGAAATGACTGGCATGATGGTATTAATATATAAAACATAGAATACTGGAGAAGTTGTTTGGCTGTCCCTTTGTCTGATCCCCAACTTACTCAATTTAAAATAACATTTCACTCAAGGGAAAATTTCTTGTTTTCTCTTATAATAAGCATTTCCTTCATCACAGAGGTAAAAATTCATCTCTAATTTGATTTAATTGGCAGGTCTGTTAAACAAGGGAAATGCTACCTGCAGGGATCCATCAGCCTGTTGAGAAAGCCCAGAGATGTTTTCATACTTTAAAACATTTGATGCCAGTTGGAGACCATGTAAAAGTTGTTTTCCATACAGCATCCAAATATTTTTGTGCAGTACCAATTTATTGTAGAAACCTGGATCGTGAGGAAAATAACAAGGTTAATCATTTTCCCACCCAAGGGTTATTAATAATCATGTTCATGCTATCCAGAGAGCTGCAGTGTTTGTTTGGTTTTTTTCCCCCCTTTGCTTTAATACTTCTAAATCCCCCAAATAAAAGTTTCATTTAAATTGCCCTTTAACTAATTAGGTTTTATATAATGAGGAAAAAAAATATCAGGCTAGTGTAGCGACATGGCAAATTGCATAGTGTGCTACATTAATTTTGAGCTGTTTGCTGATGTTCTAGAAGGAAAGCTAAGGTCCCAGGTGAAATGCCTTTGGGATTGTTATATCATGTACCCAGTATCCTTATCACAGAACCATTTCATATTTGTGTAACTAGCATTTCACATTCGTGAAGCCATGTGGTTATCCTAAAGTTGAATGAACATTAGGACATAGCTGCCTCTTTAAACCTGAAGAACAAATCAAATATACCAATGGAGGAGGGGGAAAGAATCTCCCACTCAAAAAAAAAAAAAAATCTGAGATGTTTACTAATCTTTATTGACAACAATTGCCCACCTTGAACGAATTAACTTTTTCATGTATTAACCTTTCCCCAGGTGAACTTAGAATGCCAAGCCACTTTTTAAGTGTGAGCTGATATCTCTGCCTTTGCTAGTTATTTCTGTTAGGTCAGAAAATTCCTGGCTTAAATAAAGATTTGCCAACTTCTCCAAAAGGTGGTATGATGAAACTTAAAACATGTTAACTTTGAATCCCCACATTGTAGCGGTCACTTCAAGGGTGTAGGTATCAATTGAAGCCTTCCTGGACTGTCATTGGAGAGCTGTCCAACTAGCCACTCCACTGCCTGGAAAAGTCAGGCAGAGCTTTTTGCTTGGAATTGCAGGAAGATGTTCCTATGTGTCTACACTTCCATTTTACAAGTGGTGAATCTGAGGCTCAGAGTGCCCTTCTTCCACTACCGAACATCCCCAATATATTGAGGAAGAGGGGGAAACGTGTAGATGTCAGCTATATTATAGAACATGAAACAGTTAATGAAATTAGCTATGCAAATTCTGAAATATGATTATACATATTCTGTGACAGTAAACCATTTTTTTTCTTTATCTAGATCATTGCTTATAGCCAAATAAAATTCTATGTGCCATCTGAAGGAGAGCCTTACCACTATAACATTAAACTCTTATCTTCCCCACCAGTTTAATGATGCTATGTTTCTGAAAGTAGGCAACTAGCTGTGAAGATGGTAA